TTTTTTTTTTTTTTTTTTTTTTTTTAATTTATAAAATATCAATCGCGATTCGGTTTCTGATATCTTGTAGGTTCTTCGTGATGGAAAATGGAGTGAAGAGGATGCTTGTGTTTTGGTTCCCGGTGATATTATCAGTATCAAACTTGGAGACATTGTTCCTGCTGATGCCCGTCTTCTAGAAGGCGATCCTCTGAAGATTGATCAGGTATCTTTCCATTCTAAAACAATAATCTCATTCACACTAAATTTTTAGATTTTTTGTAACAATTTGTTTTAACATATTTATAGTCTGCACTCACCGGAGAATCACTTCCGGTGACTAAGAATCCAGGAGATGGAGTTTACTCGGGTTCTACATGTAAACAAGGAGAGATCGAAGGCATTGTGATTGCAACTGGAGTTCATACTTTTTTCGGGAAAGCAGCTCATCTTGTTGAAAACACAACTCATGTTGGACATTTCCAAAAGGTTTGTTTCTCAATCATAGTTCTTATCCATATAGCTGCATACAAACTAGGTTGGCCCAGTTCATTAACTGGGCCAACCTGGTTCTTAATTAGGCTGACCCGATTCTGGACCGGGTCAGCCTATCATGAACTGGCATCTGGTCAATTTGTGCACCTCTATTATGAGTTTCAGAGTTAATACATATGACTTCTTATGATTTTCTTTTTGTTTTTAAAAGGTGTTAACTTCAATCGGGAATTTTTGCATTTGCTCGATTGTTGTTGGTATGATAATTGAGATCATTGTGATATATGGTATTCACCAAAGGGAATATCGTGTTGGAATTGATAACCTTCTTGTGCTACTCATTGGAGGGATACCGATTGCTATGCCTACTGTTCTTTCGGTTACCATGGCCATTGGTTCACATCGCTTGTCTCAACAGGTAAGCTCAACTCAACTGAAGTAACAACCATCAGTTTAGAGTATTTAAAATACCATCATACATTAGTTTTGTTACCAATATGGCCAAAATATTTTACTTTTACCCATATTAGCAACATATGTATAAAGTCGTTTACCGATAATAGCAACATACGTGCATTTCACTATCAATATGGGAAATTTACTTTATTTTGTATCATATTACTATGATTGGTAAATAAATGCAAGTAAATTGCTATTCTCAGTAAAAAAATATATATATTAGTATGTCGCTATTATGACTAAAGAAATGTAAGTGTGTTGTCATTATTTTTTACATATTGCTACTATTGGTAACAAAGTGTAAGTACATTATTGTTAGGGGTAAGAAAATGTAAGCATGCTACTATTATGAAGTACATTGCTTATATACTTGAACTTATATGCTTGAACATGATTCGAATAGGGTGCGATTACGAAAAGAATGACTGCAATCGAAGAAATGGCGGGAATGGATGTGTTGTGTAGCGACAAAACCGGTACATTGACACTCAACAAGCTTACAGTTGACAAAAATATGATTGAGGTTTGTAAACTTTGTTTTGGGATTTTAAGAATGTACTAGATTTGAATCTTAATTTCAAAAATTATAAATATTAGGTCTTTGCAAAAGGGGTTGATAAGGATATGGTCGTCTTAATGGCTGCAAGGGCATCACGGCTAGAGAACCAAGATGCCATCGATGCTGCTATCGTTGCAATGCTCGGAGACCCCAAGGAGGTATTATTGTTTCTTTGAATCCATTGTTAATTTTTTTAAACAAATTTGTTGTATTATGTAAGTATGCATATGATTTTGGTTATTGATTTTGATCCATGTTTAATTTTTGTAATGACTCGATGAAATTAGGCCCGAGCTGGGATTCAAGAGGTCCATTTTCTACCGTTTAATCCAACTGACAAAAGGACAGCGCTTACATACACAGATAAAATCGGTAGAATGCATAGAGTGAGCAAAGGTGCACCTGAGCAGGTAAAAATCCATCTAAATATCTAAAACATATTGCATCACAATTTCATATACGGTTAAATTAAAGAAATGACAGTGCACTTTCATTGGTTTATTTATTATAGAATCCCTACTTTCATTTCTTGTTATTTCACATTGTACTTATAAATTTTAACCACGTATAGTGTTGTCATCTGAACACAACATTTTTCACTACTATGGGAAGATTTTTCAATGTAGAAAATTTTGAAACTGAAATGTTACAAATGGGTATATTTTTAAAAGTATAACAAAAAATTGAAAGCAAGTATAATTTTAATGTTTTAATAAGGTAAAATTTGAAAGTACAATGATATAATTGGGTATATTTATCAAAGTATAATATCCTAATAAAAAAATAAAAGTATAACACTCTAAGACAAAGATATTATAGTAGGAAGTTGTAATATAATAAAAAACCATTGTTGTTCCTTGCATTTATCCCTTTCATATGAACCACTAAATCATTTAAAATCATTGTGTAGATCCTCAATCTTGCACATAACAAATCAGAAATCGAAAAAAGAGTACATTCGATAATCGACAAGTTTGCAGAACGTGGTCTTCGATCCCTTGGAGTTGCTCGTCAGGTAACTTGACACCTCATTGTCAAGCATCTTTCCATTTATGGAAAGTGAAATTGTTTTGCGAATTTCTTCTTCTTCTTATTCATATCTTCTTCAGGAAGTACCAGCTGGAAACAAAGAGAGCTCTGGTGGCCCATGGGAGTTTGTCGGCCTTCTTCCACTCTTTGATCCACCACGACATGATAGTGCTGAAACAATCCGGCGAGCTTTAGATCTTGGTGTGAGTGTTAAGATGATAACAGGTACTTATCTCATTTTTTTTGCAACTTCTGATATTGTTACATATTTTAAAGCTTTCTTGATTCATGTTAGTGACATATTGGTTAAAATCTGTCGCTATTGGTTTGGTTTTTAGCGATAGATTGAATGTGTTGCTGCATCTTTGACTGAATTGTATGGATGAATTATGATTAATTGTAGGTGATCAATTGGCAATTGGAAAGGAAACTGGAAGAAGGCTAGGAATGGGGACAAACATGTACCCATCTTCAGCTTTGCTGGGTGATGGTAAAGATGGTTTTGGAGCTTTACCGATTGATGAGCTAATTGAAAAAGCCGATGGTTTTGCCGGTGTATTTCCCGGTGAGTAAGACATTTTTGTAACTTAACACAAATTATTATCATAAGAGAAAATGATATCGCCTTTTTTTTTTTTTTTTTTTTTTTTTTTTTTTTTTTTAACTTAGGGGTTATTTGATAAAAGTGAATCATTTAGTGTTAACAGATTCTAACCTCTTAATGGTTAAGAAAAGTTAGGGTTCCTTAATTGTTCAGCCGTTCAGAGGCTTTTGATTTGTATAGACGTTGTATCAAACACGTTGAAGGACAAACTATAAAATGGACTTAATGAGAATATGACCTAAGGATTGTTTCTTTTTTTTTTTGCTTTTCATTAAGATGTGTGTCTTGATAAAATATAGTATAGATAAGGTATGTTTCTTTTCTAGACCGAAAAAATCGTCTACGTGAGACTAAATGACCATTTTATCCTTAAATTGATAAAATATATATATATATATATATATATATATATATATATATATATATATATATATATATATATATATATATATCAACGATATTAGTTTTAACGTGAGAGGAGTTGGAACTTGGAAGGTAAAAAGAAGAACATATAGGTAAAGGGTTAGTCTCTTTATACATTAACTTATGTTTTTTTTGGTTTAACCCATTAAGTCATTCTATCCATATTAAGTCAAAGGAAACAGTTATATATTGGTGTCCCGATTAAGTGCTCAACCTATTACACCCATTAAGTCAAAAAGAAACAACTATATATGAATGTTTCATTTTGACTAATTAATGTAGAAAGAACATACATAATAAAGAAAGTCAAAGAGAGCAGAACTTCCCCAATACGTCCTAACATTTTACAAATTTTGCACTCATTTATTATTTTTTACTTTCATTTTCCAAAGTGTGCACTCATCTTCCCAATTATTTTTTTTTGTTTGACATCATTTATTTCATATTTCAGAACATAAATATGAGATAGTTAGAAGGCTACAAGCTCGAAACCACATATGTGGAATGACAGGTGATGGTGTGAATGATGCACCCGCCTTGAAAAAAGCAGACATCGGAATCGCGGTTGCTGATTCCACTGATGCTGCCCGTAGTGCTTCCGATATTGTTCTAACCGAGCCCGGATTAAGTGTCATTATTAGTGCCGTCTTAACAAGCCGTTCCATATTCCAAAGAATGAAGAATTACACGGTAATTAGTAGTTAATTGCAAAAAATAGCAACATACTTTCATTAAATTATTTACTATAGATTCCTACTTTCATTTCTTCCTATTACAACATTGAACATTGAAGAATTATACCAACCATAAAAAAAAAGCAAGTTTCATTGCTATAATCGGGTATATTTTTCAAAGTATAATGTTGAAATATACAAATAAAAGAATATGAAAGTACAATGCTATAAATGCGTAGATTTTCCTAAGTGCAATGAGAAAAAATTGAGAATAGAATGTTGTAATGTAATCATTGTAATGTAAAGAAATGGATATAGGTTGCTATATTACATAAATAATTAAAAGTACATTGCGAATTTTCACGTTTGAGATAATCACGACAATTATTTATCATTTTGTGGGTCCCAATAATTTTTTTTTTTTTCCTTTCTACAGATATATGCCGTTTCTATCACAATCCGAATTGTGGTAAGTGTTATAGCCGTTCCTTTCTACGTAATATATAGCATAATCTTTACTGATTCGACTTTATATTAAAAGAATCATGTTTGACCTCAAAAGTCAAAATTACTTCTGTAGACTTTGACTCCAACGTTTGACTTTTTTTTTCGCCTGCATTACAGCTAGGTTTTATGATGCTGTGTGTTTTCTGGAAATTCGATTTCCCGCCTTTCATGGTTCTTGTTATAGCCGTTCTTAACGATGGTAAGTCAATGCATTCCCAACAAACTTTTTTTATTAGTTAAACACAAGCATCACTTACCTCAATGTTTCTACACTAATGAGCTTAATGGGGATATGAATTAATCTTGTAAACTATATATGGATGTTTCTTTTTGACTTAATACATAATTGTTGACTTAATACATCTATGTGTAATTCAGGCACAATCATGACGATATCAAAAGATAGAGTAAAGCCATCTCCCATTCCCGACAGTTGGAAGCTCACAGAAATCTTTGCAACCGGAGTGGTTCTTGGTGCTTACCTAGCCCTAATGACCGTTATTTTCTTCTGGATAGCATACGAAACTAACTTTTTCCCGGTATACCCCCTTTCCCAACCAGTAAATTTACCATTTTACCCTTTGCTACGTACTTGATTTAAATCTCACATCATGCATTTACGTCAGGGGTTGTTGTTGGTATCTCTTAGAATTACCTTTCTTGTTTCTATTGTAGAACACATTTGGTGTGAAGGACTTTAATTCGCATCATCGTGACATGTCTGTAGAAGCGGAATCAAAACCCTTAAATGAGATGATGGCGTCAGCCGTTTATCTTCAAGTTAGCACCATTAGCCAGGCGTTGATCTTTGTGACAAGGTCTCGGGGGTGGTCTTTTACTGAGAGACCGGGTTTATTGCTTGTGATTGCATTTGCTATTGCTCAACTGGTAAAACTAAATTCCATTGATTTTGATGAAGTTTAGGGTGGATATTTTCGGGGTTTTTTAGGGTTTTGGAATTTTTTTTCAGGTGGCGTCGGTGATATCGGCGACTGTGACGTGGAAACTTGCTGGAATTAGGGAGATTGGGTGGGGGTGGACTGGGGTGATCTGGTTGTTCAATATATTGACTTACATGCTTCTTGATCCTATCAAATTTGCTGTTCAGTATGGGTTAAGTGGAAGGGCTTGGGGGTTGGTTGTGGAGAAAAGGGTAAGTTTCTATTCTCCACAAGGGTGTCTGGATTAAGTGTTAGTGTATATAAATGATATTTAGTAAATATTTGAGAAAAGACATATGGTTAGGGATATGAAAAGAAAAATATAGGTGAAAGTAAATTTGTAAGAGGTTGGAACTTACCGGAGAAAATTTGACTTTCTTGGACATTATTTAGTAAGATCAGTCTTTTTGGATGAAGTAAAAAAGAAACACCATATATAGTTCACTTATGTCTCAATTAAACCTATTAAATAATAATTAAATGGCTACCTACAAGAAATAGTATATTTAATTGTTTATTACAACACTATTTGCATTTATTTATATTACAACATTATAGTTTCAATATTTTTGGCATTGAGCTCTAAAAAATATCTATTAGAATTGTATTTTTAGTTTTCTTACTAAGATATTAAACAACCGAGTAGATTTTTTGAATACAATATTTTTATAAGAATAAATTGAAGGGAGATGTTACAATCCGTTCTTTTTGTGTTTCTATATGATTCACCATTCTTTGTTTTCAGACGGCCTTCACAACAAAGAAGGACTTCGGGAGGGAAGCTCGTGAGGCGGCTTGGGCAACAGAGCAACGAACGTTGCACGGACTCCAGCCTATAGAACCAAGAATGTTTTCTGAGCAAGGAACATTTCGGGAGATTAGTCTAATGGCAGATGAAGCTAGACGACGAGCTGAAATTTCAAGGTATGCTTGTAGGGCTTATTTAACACAGGACTCACATAATAACATTCATTTTATGGGTCACATTAATGAATATGGACCAACAAAATAACAACTAAGAGCATCACTAATGGAATGTCGATGAAGAAATCGAAGATTTAGAATCAACCATAAAACTAGCTTTTACCATGCCTTTCTTGGTCGAATAATTCAACCACTCGATATTAAGGTTGTGTTTGGCGCGTCACAGCTAGCTTATTTTTCGAGTTTTTTAATGTTGTCGTATTTGGTAAGCCAAAAAGTAGCTTATAAGCTAACTTATAAGCTAGCTTTTTTAAAAACTACTTAGACTAGCTTTTTAGAAGCATTTTTAAAATTTTCTAAATACACCCCATAATTAAGTATAAAAACACATACTTCTACATGTTTTTTTTATGTAATTTTATATATTTCAGCTAGTTTTTCAGCTAGTTTTACCAAACATTATTTTTTATCAGCTAGCTTTTCAACTATCAGCTTAGCTTTTTATTTAACAGCTAGCATTTCAGCTAGTACGCCAAACATAGTCTAACTAAATGCTTTTTTTTAGTTATTCTTTAATACAACTAAGCCCTTCTTTAATCAATAATATTTCATTTTACTTCCTAATTATAGTTAAACTTTAAATTCTTGTTATTTATTAAATAATTAATTTCTTTTAATAAATATTAAATCATATTTTATTTTAATGTTTGATATCAAATATTAAATTCTTAGTTATAATATAATATTTTTGGTATTTTTTATAACTATACGTAAGAACTTATCTTTTTTCATGTTTCAGGAAAAAACCAAAAAAGTTTAATTTTAATTGTCAAAAATTATGTATTTTAATATTTAATTTTAATTAAATATTTTTGTCATGTAATGTGTCATTTTAAAAAAAAAAATTTGAAGTTAATTAAATATTTTTGTTGTGTAATATTTTATTTTAAAAAAATTGGCGGTCATGTAGAAATGACAAATTTAGATGAGGGGGTTTTTATAATACATACCACATGAATGGGGATAACTTACTTAGTTATAGAAAAAGAAGTTTTTCAAAATGATCAATGAGAGTTTAAGTTATAGGTTCTTCTTTGATAAGGCTAGTGGGAAATGATGTGTCAAGCAAAAACGTTATATTTGAGGTCGACGATCTATCATCTATGGATGCTTTAAGATCTTTTTCTTCTTTTCGATAAAATTTACTTATTAATTTTATTAATGTAGGTTGAGAGAACTCCATACACTAAAGGGCAAGGTTGAGTCTTTTGCGAAGCTAAGAGGATTAGACATTGATGCAATGAACCAACACTACACAGTTTGATCAGAGCCTATTCTACTCTTAATTTTTTTTTTTTTTTTTTTTTTTTTTTTTTTTTGATACTGGAGTGAAGAACCCTAAATACATCTCCTCTGTGAGAATTAAACTAATTTAAGTTCACCAATGTATTGTTAAATTTGTATGTTTTTCATAATTTGTTGGATTTTCTTAGTGTTATTCTTTGGTTATAATGCTTCCACTCACAAAGAAGATGGAGAAATATATCTTGAAGGAACTTTGTCATTTAATTGTTTGCATAACTAGAATTAATCATTTTATTTAGATTGGTTTCATGACTCGTCAAATTTTTTTATTCTTTAAAAGGATTGATATCGAGCTCAAGCTTAGCTGTTTGGAACGAATTGTGTAAATAATGCTCCAAAAAATAAATTTGTTAACAAGAATGTTGTTAATGTCGGCTATAGCTAAGATTTGTATTACAAAATCTTATACCCCCAACATTTATGCCATGGGATTTGATCTGGTTTCTTTTATTGTGTTATTGTATAGAATGTACTATAATTAGATTGCAACTTACTTTAAGAATGATATGAAAGATCGTATGTTCAAAAATCATTTCAGTATGATATTACTAATAACATATGATCTTAGAGCATCACACCAATAACAAGTAAACATAAATAGATTATTTATAAGAAGTTGATTCTTAATGAATATCTATAATTCTTGCAATTAATTAGAAATTATTTATTTGATAAAAATATTAATTTTCAACGAAAAATATCATAATATATCATAAGGTATGATATATAAAGTCATGTATATCCTTTTAGATAAGAAAAACTTTTGTCTTTTAGTTAAATGATTAAGATTTTATAACTTATAAAGAATGATAAAGTTTTTATAAAATCTCTTCTCTTCTTCATAAAATCGAGAGCTAGAGAGGGCAAAAGGAAATGTCCTTGTTTATTAGTTTATTAAGTCAACCATACTTTAGAAGCATGTATACTTTATCATAATGAAGCATGGGTTCTAAAGTGTTAAGACATATTGATTAACGACTAAGTTAATGTGATAAAGGCTTTCATACATGGGTCTTTCTTATACTAGTTGAAACCATCAATATGCTCTATGTGTTCTTTCCACGTCTCTTAAAGTGTTAAGAAGAAATGAAAGAAGTAAGATACTCGGGTTCTCTCCTTTAAGGCAAAATTGTCTTTTGTCTTAAAGGCTTAAGTGTTTCCATTTTTAAGAAGAACTACCATTGTAGTTGCTTGGTAATTGTTGTTGGTGTCAATGGCTCTCCCTTGTGCTGTTGCATTATTCATTAACAATCTAACCTCCTCTTCAGGAACCAAAAGCTTCAAAAATTGTTACTCTTTTCTTCCTAAAGTTGTGTTAATCTTTTCATGTTTATAAAAAAAATCATATGGAGGTTATAAACTAGTTTTATATTGTTCAAATTTTAAATGTTTTTATTGCTATGTTTGAGTTTTTGAACCCAAAAATGTATACTAAAACCCAAAAATTGGTATCATAGCCATCTTTACATTCATGATTAGATCTAAAATTATTTGGATACTCTTAGTTTTTGGAAAACATGTCTAACCTTTCTTTTTTTTCTTTTTTTTTCAAAAAAATGTTCATATATGTTTTCTATGACCATTTTAAAATTGTTATTTTATGTGACCAAAAGTTTACATGAATTTTAGGTTACAAAAGTTGTCTTAGAAAAACAAAGTTTTTTGATATAAAATAGGAATTCTATTAAAATAAACCTAATACAGATCTATTTTTAAATTTATAAAACCTAGCCAATCCAAAGTAAGACTATCAATTACAAGATAATGTACTTGATGATGAATAATATAGTTAATGTAAGTAAGTGTGTCCAACTCAAGGGGAACGCTAGTACCAATACGATCTAAACTAATTAATGATAAAAGTAGGGGATTCGATGAACTGCTTAATCTTAACTAAAAAACATAAATTAAATACGTCAAACAAATAATAATAAAAGTACTTACTCTTATATTTCGATTCACTTATTGATTATGATTGATTTACACAAAGTGCAATGGAATTAGTAGATATCCACTGATTTCTAAATTGATTAATTCAAACTCAATATCCTTAATCATATGTTTGTAAGTTATCCACTAGTAGAGATAGATTTCCTAGATCTATTTTGTTAATTCGTATTATGAAAGACTTAATAGGTATGTTCAATCCCAAGTGCTGTGGCAACTTCTCAAATCACCTAAATGAATAGTGCAGTCATGGACACTAAATCAATATCTTTATGCCTAACCTAGGGATCCCTCCTCTAGTTACGATTTCACACATCAACTAATGGAGTTTTGGGTCATTAATTGTCAGCCACAGTAATCATGGATCATGTACTTAGTTACATAAACATAGAAATTATTGATATCAATACACATGACTCTTTAATCAAGCATTCAAAATAACTTGAATAACAACTAATATTGAAACATCCCAAAAATACTGTCCAAAATTTTCATTTTTAAAATAATTAATAAAAACATAATTCATCCATCAACATAAAAAAACCAGTAACCATGTATCTCCAAACATCATGCCAAATACTGCATCGAAATCAAATAAGAAAATATCAGAGTCTAAAACAATCCCAGGCTGAAATTGCGGTGTGTGCCATGCGATCATCCCGAGCCCTTCCCCTTGCTAATCGAAGTACCTAAAACCAAAATTGAAAACTGTAAGCACGAAACTTAGTGAGCTCCCCCAAACTACCACATACCATACAATAACACATACTAACACACACTGAGCCTTGCCCACTACATCGGGCCCCGCTCGGACTAATCAGGCATCGGGCCCCGCCCAGCATCGGATTAATCAGGCAACGAGCCTCACCCGACATCAAGCCCCGCCCGACATCGGACCGAAGTCCGAAATACATATCATAACACATATCACACATATAACACATAAACATAATAAACTTCCTCGGGTCTTCCCAAGCATCGGACTGAAGTCCGGTACATATAAGCTAGTTCTGCATCGGGCTTACCCCGTCATACGTAACACATAACATGCGTGAATCACAAAGACATCAAGCATACATATACTTTTCTTGGGACCGCCCCGGCATCGGATCGAAGTCCGTAATATATAAGTTGTATTGGGCTAACCCCGGCATCGGGCCTAAGCCCGACATATACTAACATACATAAACGAGTGAACATTGGTGCCTTCGACCCGTTCCTACTGGAGGAAAACTCACCTCTCAATCTGGCTGCTGAAACTTGTGCAAAGGTAACTCTGACCGCTGCTCCAACTACTCCCTGACTATTATGACCAAAATAAACACTTAGTCAATAACTGAGAATCCTTCTAAGGGTAAAATTACTATTTTACCCCCTTTGATCCAAGTTGTACCATGACCTAGGCCCAATCCTATTCTAGTCCTTCCAAACCCACTAAGGCCCATTAATGTTCTCAAATGACCCAATTTTCTAAATCGGGCCCAACTCCTCAAATGGGCTTTCCCCCTAAGCCCAAACTAGTCCTTGGGCCCTTAACTGACTCCTGGGGGCCCATCACGGTCCAACATCTGCTAAGCCCAAACCAAGGCCCAATAACGTAAAACCCATAATCTAAGCGCACGCTGAGCGTACTCTTCTGTATGCTACACGTACAGCTTGTATGGGTTGTACGTTGTACGTAATGGCGTGTACCCCCATCGTACTCCCCTGTTAAGGCATTTTCATCAAAGTTGCTTAATCCCTTAAGACACTATGTCCAAACTACAAATCTGAGTCCAATAATTAGTCTTAACCCATGAAGTTAATCACTTGCTGGCTTGCAACACACCAAATGAGCCCAAACATAGAATAATAGCAACTATCTCCATAGAAATGGCTAGATCTCATGCATGGCTACATAAAAGCCTTAAAGGTTGAAACTTTATTGCTAAAGGGATACTTTGAGCTCCAAGGGTGGCAACCCTAAGCTCAAAATCGAAGTTGCACTATAAAGGTCCATCCTTTAGACCTAAAAAGGTCCAAAACTTCATAACTCTAGATCTAAGCTTCTAAGAGGAAAGTTTGAAACTTTATACCTCCTTTGAGTGCCAAAAGATGCAATAGTCTCAGATCCTTAAGCTGAAGATACTCAAGTTCTTCTTCTCCAACTCTTCTTCTCTTCTTCCAAGCTTTTCTTCACCATAAATGAGCTCAAAAAGTCAAAAACACACAACAATGGAGTATGAGGGTGTATTAGGGTATTTTGAGGGTGAGGGACTAAGGAGGCCAAAAGGAAGATATAATGCGGTATTTATATGTCTTAAACCCTAAAAATTAGGGTTTGGCATCTGCTCGCGTATGCTGGGTGTAACTCTTGATACATTGTGCGTATTTGCCTGCGTCCCCCGAATCCAATGAGCCTCTACACCCCACGTACGCCAAGGCTACGCCCATCATACGACTTATGGGCGGCCTAATTTTTCTCAGCCTACTAGCTTAAGTCCATTCCTCAATCCTTCTATCTACATTTAACCCAACAATAATTAAAAAATATAAAATAAAATAATACCTCAAAGACGGTCGTTACAAATATGCTTTCAAACGAATGAAATAATAATCAAGCCAGATCATCTACATCTAAATAAAAGTAATGAAACTTAGCCCATTAACTAACTAAGAAGACAAGAAAAAGTACATAAATATAATATACAACAAACCAAGTACTCCTTTGTGAGTCTCCTTGATGTAATTCTTCAACATTCTTACACTTCTTCTTGTTCTATGAGTTTTGTAAGGTATGACATATCTTCTGGTCGAAATTAAGGGTATATTTATATCCTTTTTATGATCATCTTGAATTGCGGCGCAATAATATATATTCACGGCGAGATATCTTAAAATTGGTATTTATATTTAAAATATTTATTAAATTCTCCATGATAATATCCATCTATCTTCCTTGGTCATTAATCCATGAAATTATGCTCCATAATTGCTCTTTTCAGCTTCTATTTATAAATTAGTCATTTTCAGTTGCAAAACATAAATGTA